ATATATTATGCCATTTGGCTACACCAGGGATGGATGCCCCTGGGAAGTTTTCCTGCAGATCTTAGAAAAGCTTAATAGACTAGATTCCACATTCTGTTGCCCTTAATTCCTTCCTTCCTTCCTTCCTTCCTTCCTTCCTTCCTTCCTTCCTTCCTTCCTTCCTTTTGTTTTTTGTTGTTGTTGTTTGTTTGTTTGCTTCTTTGTTTGTTTTTGTTTGTTTGTTTGTTTTTTGAGACAGGGTTTCCCTGTAGCTTTGGAGCAGCCTGTCCTGGAACTTACTCTTGTAGACCAGGCTGGCCTCGAACTCACAGAGATCCGCCTTTCTCTGCCTCCCGAGTCCCGGTGCCCCTAATCTATTTATTATGAAGACATATGTACTTTTCCAATTTACCCTTCTTTGGGAGCAGTTTCACATCGTGCACAAAAGAATGGGGGGGGATGTTTTTCCCTTTAAGCACCCTGAACGCGGTAATTTGGGTTTAGGTACAAAAAATATAAAAAATCATACCCAATTTGCAAGAGCCTAGACTCCAATCTCAGTGCCCTGTTAACCAAACCACCCAAATTGCCAGTGTTGTTCCACTTTTATTAAATGATCTGACCTTTAACCTGTGGAACAAACTGAACTTGTATAGTTCTTGCTACTTCCCAGCTCTGTGGCTCCATCAGCTTCAGTTTTCTGATCTGTAAAATGGGAATAAACAACAAAGCCGGCTCCGTAGGCTGGTAAAAGGCAAGTGGAAGGAGGAACGCCAAGTCCTTAGCAGCTCATGGTGAATGCTTAGTGTCAGGCTCACACTCTGAGTCTCCAAGCCCCTGCCACCCGGCCCACACGTGTCACCAAGTCACACAGAGCCTGCCTTTCTCTCCTTTCTCCTTTTCTCTCCTCCCCTTCTCCCCCCACTTCCTTATTCAATACCAGGGATTGGATCCAGAGCCGGGTGCATGCTACTCAAGTACCCTACCGCCATGCCGTTTTGAGCCTTTGGCTTCCCTGCCTGGGTCTGTTTCCGCTCTGGGGAAAGGATCAGAGTAGGAAGGACGAGAGAGCTACCGAAGTAGCTTATGTCCCTCGGTCTTCTCAACCTTGTCTCTCCTCACCATGCTTGTGCCCTGGCACATGAAACACACACATAGTTTTTTTTTTTTAAAGAGGCTATGACCAGGCATGAAGACACATGCCTTTAATTCTAGCACTTAGGGGGCAGAGACGGGCAGATTTCTATGGCTACTTTTCAAGATAGTAAGATGCTATCTCAAAAAAAAAAAAAAAAAACCCAATGGCAATAGATATCTCTCTCTCTCATCTCGCATGTTAGGGGAGTTATAATATAGTTCCTTATGTAAACCCTTTAAAGTTACTTAGCAGAAATGACTATTTATAGCAATAATTCTCAAGGCCAGCGCCTGCTATAATAGGGGGGAACCAGGACCCCATAGTGATGGAGAACAGAACAGCTCAAACTCAGGGCCGTTGGGTCTTCAAAGAGCAGCGAACAAAGTTGATGCCAGAGAGCTGAGATGAATCATAGCCGGCCTCTCTCCTTCATGAGTGTACAGCCTGGGCAGTACTGCCGAGGGCTACAGAGATTCTGGATTGGGTGGAACAAGAGTGTCAGCTGTGAGGACCCCCGAGTGGGGAGAGGCCACTCACAGCCAGGGACAATGATAATGGCTTCCTGATGACAGCGGCACTGTGGCTGAGGTGTAAAAGGTCACTGCAGGTTCTTTCCCCTTCATATCTATGTGTCATTTTAGCCAGAGCTCATTGTCAGAGACTGTTCCAGAAGACCAGACCCCTCCAAGGAGGGAAGGCAGCTGGACATCTGGCAGACTGACTTATAACATGCCTCTTTGTAGCACTTTCCAAAGGGCCCTCCCCCCAGCAGACATAAATGCTTCAATTCAGAGACCACTGAACGATGCCTGCTGTGGCCTAGACCCTGGGCTGGGCATCAGAGCCCAGATGTATCCTGCTCAGCCTCTGCCCTCGGGGAACTCTCAGGGAAGAAGAGCTTCATGTACAAAGAAAGCCAGATAAACAGTGGCAGGGGCCACAGGGCTGGGGCAGCCAGACTCTGGGGGTCAGAGGCAGTGCACAAATCCTCCACATTCAGAGCCGTGAGACCACAGGGGCAGGGTGTGTTCTGATGTCACCAAGGACATCTGTCTGGTGGGAGCGACCTGCTCCGTCCGTGGGAATCACCCACAGAACTCTTGTGTGAAGTCGGCCCCCTGAAACAGTCTGGATCTACACAGAATATGGCCTCTCTCTTACCCATCTTCAAATATTTCCTGAGCGCCTCCCATATGTCAGACTCAAAGTCAGGGTCTATGGGCTGTTCCTGTGTGATTTAAGGCACATGGTAGTCTTTGAAGTCAAAGAGACCTGAGTTTGACCCTCTCCACCATTTCCTTGTGTAAGTGAGTTTACTCTTTCCTGAACTACTGACGTTTTCTTTTTCTTTTTCTTTTTTTTTTTTTTTTGCTTTTTTAACAAAATGAGTGTATAACTATCTGCCTCTGAGGGTGAGCCTCGGATGGGGTTGTATCTGCATACGGCACATAGCTTCTTGCTTTGGCATGCGTAATTTCCAATGAATGTTGTCACATTGTGGGGAGGGTGCCACATTGACAAGATTCTCAACTCCGTATCTGTCGCACCCCTCCCCCTAAAACTGTTGTTTTTTTTTCCTAAGGTCTATTATGCAATGTATGAGACAAATGGCTACGTTCTGCTGTCTAGAGCAGAAAGTGCAGGCTACAAGGGAGACATGGTGGGAGGGTGAATGTTTGGAAGGCATTGGCAAGAGTTCTGAATTAAAAGCCGGTCGGTGTGGGGCTGGAGAGATGGCTCAGTGGGTGAAGAACATAGGCTGATCTTACAGGTTTGGGCATCATAATCCAAGTTCCTAGGGATCTGGTGCATTTTTACACAGACATACACGCAAGCAAAACACCCACACTATCTATCTATCTGTCTGTCTGTCTATCTATCTATCTATCTATCTATCTATCTATCTATCTATCTATCTATCTGTTTATCTATCTATCTATCTACACATAGAAAATATACATACATATATTTCTTTTTAAAAGGCAGTAGATGTAACTGGGATCCTGGATTTTCCTCTTACTTGCAGTGTGGCTGGTCAAAGGTCCTTTCCCTCTCTGAGCGTTCTCATTTTTACAAGCGGTCTAAGTTTTGTGTGACTGTCCATCCTTTGTCCAGCATTGATTGGAACACTGCCTTTGCTTGATACAAAATGAATGAAGTTATCTCCAAAGGTCCCACACAGGCGAGTTCCTAGGTGGAGTTGGGACTGGGGGTGTTCAGGACTGGCAGGAAGACCACTTAGAAAATGACATCACCTGAAGAGACTGCCCTAGGATCCTGTCTAGGGGCTGCAGGAAGCCCATGGAAACACTGGCATTTACCATCTCCTCCCTGGATCCATGAAGATCTGCCTAGACTCTCAGAGGAGAGGCTTCCAGCCCTCCTCCCACCGTCAGGGTCAGGGCCAGATCCCAGGCTGTGGTGAGCTCTGGCTGGGAGCCTTGAGGATAAGGGGATTGGAGGACTAGTCAGACAGACAGGAAGTCAGACTTAAGAAGGAAAACAATGCTGAATTGGAAGCCAGCAGATAGGTTCCCAGGCTGCTTTGCTCCTTTAGCAGCTGTGTGGGCTGGCCAAGCCACTTGGGCTCCCTGAGGCTCAGCATCCTCATCTGGAAAATGGACTTTTATAAAACCCAGAGAAGAGAGATTCTTGGTGGTGGTGCCAAGCAAACTGTAAGGTGAGATTTGCCTGGGAAATCTGGAGGAAGAGGCAGACCAGCTGGCAGGGGAGACTTGACCAGGAGGCTGGGGAAAGGTGGATGGTGCCCTTAGCCCTGAAGCTGGGTGTTGCCTGTCAACCTCTGACAGACGGTCCCTGAGGAGGGATCAGTCTGTGAGGCAGTGACGTGCACAAGGCTAACCCAATACCCAGAGAGATGCTTTATCCTGCCAGGGAAACAAAGACTGTATTTCTTATGTACCTTGGCTCTTAGAGCTTGTCCCCAGTGAACCAGGGAAGCTTTGTAAACAAACTGCCCTACAGATCTCAGGCCCTGGCTCACGGGGCTGGGCCTCCCAGGAGCTTTTGCAGGCCTCTTAGCGGCTCTGTTTGTCCAGATGTGCGGGTGAAAGATACGTCTTTTTCCAGATGTGGTTGGAACAAACCTGAAGCAATGTGCTATCTGGTCTCTCCTGAAGCTGCTTTTCTGTGAGGCATTGAGAATGACCGAACTTCAGATGCCACCAGGAGAGTCACATGGGCCGAAACCCTCCTGGGAAACTGCCTATGCCCTGTCCACAAAAGTGCAAAAGGCAGATTTCTATGGTGTTCATATTTATGGTCTCTGTGACGCTAAAGATAAGGGTGGGAGTTAAGAAATCCTATGAGATCTGCTGTGTCCCAAGCTTGTTGAGGACCTGAGCTATAACAGTGAGTGAAACGGGCAAGCCTCGTAACCTCATGGACCTGTCTGCTGGAGAGATGGACTTTAATTAAATAATCGTGCATGGATAAAACAGTAAGACAGCGTGTGGACACAGAAGTCTGGGAAAGTAAACAGCAGGGGCCATGTGACAGACTAGCAATTCAAAAGGGGGGCTCGGCTCCTAAAGGAGGTGGCAGTTGAGTGGCAATCTGAAGGTTGGCTGAAGTCGTCAGGCTGTGGTGAGGCGCTGAGGAGATGGACTGGACCAGAGATTTCTAGACTACAGAACACACACGCGGACGTAGGAGAGTTAGTGCATTCAGATTGGAGCGTGCAGAGCAAGAGACAGCTGAATCGAAGAGGTGACAGGAACCAGTTGGACCAACCAAAGGATGATGTTTTGGGGTCTTAAAAATATTGAGAAGCCACGGGGGGGGGGGGCGATTTAAGAAGGTTAAGATCAAGTGTGCATTTAAAATGCTCGCTCTGCTGGTAGTGGCAGGAAAAACAAGTGCACTGGGACCAAAGGAAGGTTCTTGTAAGCCTGTGGGTGAGAGACAGATGGCCATGGAGAACAACACACACACATGAAACTAGAAAAGGCTCAATCACAGAAAGCACCAGAGAACTAGAAGCTGGGGCAGCCCTTACTGAGATGGAGAACCTAGGTAGACAAGAAACAGGTGCCGGGCAAGCTCATGGGCTTCTGTTGAGATGTTTGTTGGGGTTCCAAAAAAGCAGGGGAGGCACCTTGCTCAAAGGTGTGAAGCGTAGCCTCAATAGGGTTGGGTCCTTGGTGCTCTCCAGGGAACCTTTGCCTTCTGCAAGGACAGCTGGAGCAAAAAGCCATTCAGAGGGGAAGCAATTGAGGTCTCTGGCCAAAAATCTGGACAGGAAACCCCTCTGCTGAATCTTTGTAATACTATTGGTGTTGGAGTAAACATCCATCATTCAGCCTGGGCTTCAAGAGGGAGCCACAGGCATAGGAGGCAGGGCGAGGATACTCGGCCTCGTGCCTCCTGGGAGGCCAGACCACTGTCCCCAAGCGTGCGAGAGGAGCCTGTGACCCAGATGCCGCCTCCACCTCGCCCCCGGCCGCGCCGCGTGGGAGGAGGCAGCAGCTGCGGGCCGGGCGGAGGGCGGGCGGCGGCGCTCCGGCCCGTGGGAAGCAGCGGCATCTGCGCTTTCCACGCTCCTTCCCAGCGGCTAGCTCTGAAATCCAACCCTCCCGGGCCGGCCTGGCGACCGCTGGCCCGCGCCCTCAGTCAACCCGCCCCTGGGATCGGGTTGCAGGACCCGAGAAAGAGCATCTCGGTTCGCGGTTCCCCCGACGGTCGGCCGTCCGCAAGGGCGGGCAAGGGGTAAGCGAGCTACCCACGTCCGCCAGAGGCTGACAGACAGGAAGCTAGGCGAGCACAGAGGATTTGGCACCAGACAAATGGGTTCCGGGGAGAAATGAGAGCAGGCGACCCCTTCGCATGCTCTGTGTCCCTTCCTGGTCTGGGAGACTAGAACCACCTGGGAGCCCTACTCCACCCACCATGCAATCAGGTCCTGGCCTGCTTCCAGCTGGGCCTTCTAGGTCAGCCTAGGCCAAGGAGATGGTCCCTCAGCTCTGAGAAACTAGCCTTTCTCTTTCTCTGCAGCCAGATGGCCAGACCGCTGACCACCCCCAGCCCTTCGCAGATGCAAGCCCGGAAGAAGCGCAGAGGGGTGAGTGAGCAACAGGCTTTGAGGAGCGCAGGCGGGGTTTGCACTGAATCCCAGGAGGCCTTGCCCATCATCCCAGCTGACTGGACAGGTTCAAGCCCAAGCTCTGCCCATTACAATCCTGGTGGCTGGGTATGCCACCGCCCCTCTAGTGTCTTGCTGCTGCTTCTTCTGAGTGACAGGGAGCACCTACCTCAAAAGACTGATTTGTACCCAGGTGGTGGTGGCACACACCTTTAATCCCAGCACTCTGGAGGCAGAGACAGGAGGATCTCTGTGAGGTCGAGGCCAGCCTGGTCTACAGAGGGAGTTCCAGAACAGGCTCCAAAGCTACAGAGAAACCCTGTCTCGAAAAACCAAAAACAATAATAAAAATAATGCCCTTTAACCCCTGCCTCAACCTCCCAAACGCTGGGATTGCAGGCATGTGCTACCTGGTTTTTGCAGTCCTGAGGATTTAGTTCAGGCCTCATACATGCTAAAGGCAAGCACGCTACCAACTGAGTAAATCCCTAGCCCACCAAGGGCAGTTCTGAAGACTGAGTGCATTCCTGTAAACTCTGCTGAACACCTGACAACGGACCATTAATACTCTGGTTGTAGTCTCCCCTCTACCCAGAACTTCGTCCTCTTTGTGTGGATCAGGGAGGTGCAGAGGGGAGCCCCCCGCTAGCAGCTCTCTATCGTACCCCACCCCTCCTTGTCCTGGGGATCCAGAGGCCTGGGATCTGGCAGGAGCCAGCCATTCATTTACTCACCAGAAGACTTAGGCAAATCGTTTTTCCCTACCTCGTATTCTGCCTCTAAGAAGTGATGGATTATAATTTCTACCCATCTATGAGGTTTCTGTTGCCAGAATTGTGGGGAAGACAGAGAGAGTGTGAATGAAGGCCTCTGCAGTTGGAGAGAACAAGACCCAGCATTCTTCAGGGGTTCTCATGATCCAGAAACAGGAGGGCTAACTCTGGCCCGGCGGGGTCTCCCAGGTCTACACCGGTGCTGAGGCTGGTGCCCCCTGCTGCTAGGCAGTGCCCTGCTTTACCTATGGGGAAGGCCGTCCCTCCAGACCAGGACAAGAGGCCTCAGTGCCAGTGCCAGCTCTGTACTTTCACTGTGCGACATTAAGCAAATTATTGTCATCCTGAACTCTCGTTCTCATCCTCCATAAATAAGGAATAGATTTATCCCCCAGGGGAAAAATATCTCTCTGGGGAGAATGTGAGTCAGTGTCCGCAGGGCGCACTGGAAAGTGTGATGAAATGCCTTCAGGGAACACCATGTCACTGGTTTTCAGATCATAGAGAAACGGCGCCGAGACCGCATCAACAGCAGCCTTTCCGAATTGCGACGCTTGGTGCCCACGGCCTTTGAGAAACAGGTATGTGACATTGCTGATTGGGTAGGAGGCAGGGTGCGGTTCCCATGGTAGCGCTTACAGCCGGCAGAGCTGTGATCATTTATAAATAGCTGTCCCTAGGGTGTGGGCACTTGTTGAAGATCTGAGTTCAAATCCACAGCAGCCATGTAAAAGTCCAACATGGCTATGCACACCTGTAGCTCCAGCACTGGGAGGCAGAGACAGGCAGATTCTAGGAGCCAAGACAGTGAGGACTTGGGTTCAGTCTAGGTCTCCCATTGTGGGAGGAGAGAGATGGCTCTAGCAAGCTGACTTCTGAGCTACACACACACACACACACACACACACACACACACACACACACG